TTGCAAATTATTAATTAATAATTTGAGCTAATGCAAGTGATGTGGATCAGGTCTACAAATAGACTATAACAAAGCCTACTTTTGCTACACCGATGGATTCGTCATCGATCGATATATACAACAAAATCACGATCTTTCAATGATTGCTAGCATAGTATTTCGAACTCTGTCCCCATGACTTCTCATAGTTGTGAACTTTACCGCCATGCTCTCATAATTGTTGTAATCCACTGAGCAAAGTGTTTGGGGAGCCATGAATCAGTTATGGAAGACAAAAAGTGAACGGAAGGTTTAAGCAGATGAAATCATGCGTTGCATGCAAATAATCGTAGTTTATATGAAGATTGATCTTTAGGTCAACGTCCCGTCGGAATGTTTCAAAACATAAAATATGCGGGGATAAGGCTTTTAGAATAAAAAATATCAAACGAAGAAATTAAAATAGTAATTCTAATTGAATATTGGAAAAGAGGGATTGAAATCGAAATTAGATTAAAAGTAATATTACTCATACAGTAAAATTGGGTTGTGACGATGTTAGAGAAGCGATTATTTCAATGTAAATGAACATGAATCCTTGAGCAGGAATCGATGATGAAAAAATTTAAAGCACAATCCAAAAGTTCGACCAAAAAAGAACGTGCGATTCTCTTTGCAACAACTAATTAAATCAAAATATGGATCTTTGTAGAAAAGCCAGATGGACTAATTCTAATGACATCAAATAATTTAATGTTGATTGTGAAACCTGGCAAAAGAGAATAAGAATGCAAAAAGATATTAGCAAGTTTACTGATGAAGAATAAGCACTCTAAGAACGAGTTAAAAATATGGAAAATTCCCAAATATCGGAGTAACCGAATGACAGCAGTCGGAATCTCTGGAATACAGCAAATCGACTAACAACACGAGAAAAATTAGTGAAAGTGAAGGCGACCCTTGCACTTACTAGCAATCTTCGGAAGAAGTATTGGAAAAGATCAGATGAAGTCAGTGCTTTAGAATTAAGACTGATATCTGCGAAAAAAAAAGGGCTTAGTGATGATGGATCCATTTGAATGTGCCGAACGAAATGTTCGGGGACATATCAAAATTTAGATGAAATGAAAACAGGAAAATCCAATGACAATCAATATATGTAGAATGGTTCATATTAAACAAGCAGTACACCAGGAGTCTGAGAAAATTATGCATTTTGAAACTTATAACATTACTCTGTCAGTGAAAGTTGAAGATATCAATGATGATAGCTGCTTTTGATAATATTTATATGCAGGTTGTTGGAGAAATTTTTGATGAACAAGACATAAAAATTCGAAAAGCAGGCCAAGTGAGCCGCAACTGGCGAAGAACGCATTAATACACATAATATACCTCTATTTTATAGTTCGATCTCAAATTTATTCATTTTGTCGTTCTTGTCTCTGCCACAAATTCGTATAATGTGTGTCATCTGTCCGCTACCCATTCCTAACCTTTGATTCATAAAAGGAAAGATATTTATAGAATACTATGTTAAAATGTTTCCATAAAATTCTTCGTAAAATGATTTGGTCGAAGTAAAATGTGGAAGCGATACATTTGTTAAGTCTTTAACATTTCGCATTCATCAAAGCATTCCACTTTCTGACACTTCGGCTAGTCTAATGGAGTGATCTAATCCAATTAGATGGTTTAGTCCAACTGAATGGTCTAGTCCAACCAATGGTCGAGTCTAACTAGATAATTGAGAAAGTGGAATGTTGTGATAATATCAGAAACACAAGTGGGTATGATTGTCATCACTTTACAGGTGAGAAAATTTGAGGATCAAAAGATGAGCGATAGAATGGCAGGAAAATATAAAAATAAGAAGCATAAGAAGTATAAAAATATAAAAATTTGGGTAGAGCAGGCAGGATGTTGTAAGAATATAACATTACTCTAACAACTAGAATCAGAACTGAACCGGTGGTGCAAGAAGTGGTGACAACGACCAACTCGTTGATACAGCCTTGTGAGGCGGCGACTTGAGTACTAAAACAAAAATTCGAGAATAGAATACAATAATGCGAGAAGGAACTGAAGTCCGATATGGGTTGTTGCGGAAATGGTTCTAATTACCAGTATCCACCACTAAGCTAAATAAAATGGTAAGCAGCAAATTATGACGCATAACAACTGCGACAAATGAACTGTGATAATTGATTGGGCTGATATTCAGTTTCAGGAGAGAATTCATTCAAAAAGAAGTTAGTGTAAGAGCAACTGATGGACGAAGTGGGAGAAATTTGATAGCTTGTGACAGGAAACAAATTTGTGGACAGACATAACCAGCAGTATTTTGTTCTGAATGATATACATAAGCAGATTCGACAAAGCAGTCTTACACAAAATTGGTCATCGAATAATCTTCGAACATACTTTATTAAATTCCAATTTGAAAAAATTAGCACAAATTAATCGTACATGATCAGGATATTTAATTCTCCATACTCTTCTCGGTAACATGCTCATTTATTCAAATTAAACAGTTTGTTGTTTAATCAGCTTGTCACGCAACATAATCTGATTCAACTTTTCCACCAAAACATTTGTTTTACTAACGACTACATTACTTGAAAACCCTCTTCCCAGTTTGAAATTATTTGAAAATGCAGTCATCTTTTTGAAAAAATTTGGTCCATTTCGAAGGTAGACATACTTTCAAACATTGCCTACCTTCGAAACGATGGGGAAGCGCAGGGAGACTGAAAGGAATGTCGGGAGAACCAATCATCGATTGCGCATTACGCATGCGCAACTGTCGTTTAAATTTCTGCTCTTGCTCTTCTTGCTTCATACTTCAGTGAAATAATTTGCTTGAATAAATGTTTAGATCAGATTAGTAAGTGGATTTGAAGAGTAAAATTTAAATTTAAACTTGATGGCCAATGTGTTAGATTCTTTTCTTCTGCAAAGTGAATTTATTAGTAAAGCCAGCTCATTGTTAGCTCATAACTGTATTCAGAATGATCGATTTGTGTTTTCTGGTCTGTGCAGGTTTAATTGGTGATAGTGGAGTGGTAGGAATGTGAGATGAGGAAGGAAGGGAAGGAAAGATGAACTACCCGTTCAGTTGTTGGTCGATTAGATCACGGAGGAGGCGAAAGTAGCCATTGGCAGTATGACAAGAGAAAATGAGGAGCTACGGTCACTCCACATCATACTATTCATTTTTCTAAATCGAGCATTATCCTACCTTCTCTATTTTTCCTACATCCCTTCTCGCAGTGTTCAAATTTATCGGGAAATTACTGAAAGGTCGGTGGATGGCCTTGGGTAGTGATTTGTAAATATCGTTACTTTGGGGCACTATTCATCGAACTGGAAAATTTTTGAGTAACAAGATGAGTAACATTCATTCGTCTGATGAATGGGATTGGAGTAGAAATAATATCCCTGTCTACCGACTTCAGAGATTTTCTAATTAGAAGAGGAATTGAATGTGTCGAATTTCCAAGTCAAAGTACCACTCTTTCCAATCACTGTTTAATCATCTTACTTCTCATTTCTTACTTGGAATGACTAATTTCTTTTTTATTGACATTATAGAATACATTGCATTCATATGTTATGTCTAAGGGTGAAATAATTTAGACAAAACGTAATGAATGCACTGGCATGCTTAAATCAGAAACATATAATGAAAAATGAAATAATCTGAAAACTTTAATTTAATTTATTCTTGGGATAGATCTTCCCCGAGCATAATTTAGGATGAGTGAGATATTGGTGGGCTCAAATGACTTTTATTGATAACGACATCCATTCTGTTTTCTATTTTACTCGATAACAGTCACTCCATATGTCACCCTCTCATTCCACGTAATCAAATAACCACATTTGTAGGGAAGAAAAAGAAGCACAGCTGCTATCGAAGCAAAATAAAGGAGATGATATGAATGGCGAAGGAGAACATCGATATGGAATGGCCAGTGGATATAATTCATGGCTTAGTATTTTTCGAATGGTTAGTAGTATTATGATACCAAACTCTTGGCTTTTTTCACTTTTTATTATTTCTATTTACTAAATCTTTTTTGAGCTCTTCTCTGATCTCTTTAGCACTTTTTCTACTCCAATTGAATCTGATGTCCTCAGATTGCAAAGAGGATAAAATAAGAGAGCACCTAATACACAGATGGCCATTTGTCGTTGATTCTTATATTTTCATTCCTTTAGTAAATAATGATAAGATTTAATGCTTGTTAGCTTGATGTTCTCATTAATGTTATTTTTCTCGAAATATTAGAGCCGTGCTCTCAATTTCGGATTGTTACCGCAATAATTGAAATTAAATTCGGTAAGTACTCATTACAAGTAAAATTATAACATTGTAGATGCCATCTGCTCAGTAGTTATTTGAAAATAATTATGTGTCATGCAAATATATGGTTTAATCAGAGGAGTAGTTTCTAAGTGAAATATTGATTAGATGATTTCGTTAATCAGACTGAGATTGCCATATTTCTAGTTTGACACGAATTACGATGGTTATATAGCAACGCATGACCTGAGACGATTTGTTCGTAATTCGACAGCTTCATTCGGATTGTCTAGGAAGGAAGCGGACGCTTTATTGCGAAATATTGATAAAAATGGTGATCGTGTAGTCGATTTTGCTGAATTCTGTACCCTGGTATATATTTTTTGGTTTGATAACAGTGATTCAATTTTGAGTAAGATTTTGTCGTCCCTCATAATTACTATAACGTTTCTTCGTGCATAACTATTGCAGATGAGCCGGGCTAAAAAGTTGCGCATGCGGCATATATTGTTTCGAGCGGCACAAATGGTGGTACCGCAGAGCAGTCGAACAGTACCATTCAATTATTTACAGCAATACAACTGCTTCCCTCCACCACTTTTCATGATCTGTATATCTATCTTGGAGGCAAGTTTATAATACTACTGTTATTGTTAGCTTATCTTTTTGACATTTAGAGGATGCAATATTTAATGATTCTGAATCATTGGACTAAAAACGAGAGACGTCTTCCTGTGTGCTGTTTCATGGACAAGTTGAAATTTTGTATGGTAGAAAGTCATCACATCCATTCGCTTCTCCTCCTTCTTTAATTAGGAGTGAAATAGCATTATGAGGATCCAACAAATTTAAGCGGACTGCTTTCCTGATTATTTAAAAAATGACCTTTCAGATAGCAGTATATGCTTACTATGTTGTGCAACTTAGGAGTGGAATTGAATTGTATGGACCAGTACCACAAAAATCTATCCTCATATTCAATCCTTATAAAACCAGCGAAGTGTGGCGATATTTCACTTACATGTTTATTCATATAGGGTGAGATTGTTTTCTACAACTAGTCTTGATTTAAAACTGCGAATTTCGCTGGAAAGCCTAGAAATACGATGATATCAGGAGATTCCAGGATAATACATTTGGCTTTCAATGTGTTAACACAAATCATTCTTGGCATTCCACTTGAGTTGGTCCACAAATTTTGGAGAATTGCTTTGGTGTATTTATCTGGTGTTCTGGCCGGTAAGTACTGCTGATGTTCCAATTCTTATTACCAATATTTTGAAAATTCAGAGGTGTTGCTTTTAAAGAGTCCAGTAATCATACTTAATCTGCTTCCGAAACTATCTGTTTGACATATCAGAAAATATGAAATATTGATTTTTGTGAACCTATCGAAAGTGTCTTCGAAACATAACTGACTTTTAGGTTCCTTGCTGGACTACGCTATTGATCCGAGAACGTACTTGGCCGGGGCCTCTGGAGGTGTGTATGCTTTACTTGCAGCACATATAGCCGAATTACTTATTAACTGGACCGAGATGGAATTCGCACTTTATCGAGCTCTTGCTTTAACAGTCCTGGTCTCAAGTGACGTATCCTTGGTCATTTATCACCGCTACTACCTTAGCACCACAGATAAAGTTCTCTTTTTATTGTTCATTTTAATTAAATGTCCCCTTAAATAATCTCCAGCAAGCCAGATCCAAATTCTCTGGAGTCTTATTTTGTCGAATTTCAGATATCTCACGTATCACATCTTGCTGGCTTCGTGGCTGGCGTCTTAATGGGTACCATCGTGTTACGGAATTTTCGAAAGAAAAATTGGGAACGTGTAGTATGGTGGATTACTTTTGCAGTAACAAGTCTTTCATTCTCAACGCTTGTCTTAATCAACATCATCCCGCATATTTAAGGCGCTAAGATTGATTCAAGAATAGCCTTTAATCCTGAAATCATGCCCGTCCGGAAACCATGAATTAGTCCTCCAACCACTTCAGATTATTGTGACTTAAAAACATATGTATCTTATTAATTCAAATTTGATAAAGCATTAACAGCAATTCATCTTAAGTAAAAAGTTAAACCTGACCAAGATCGAATTAACTTTAAACTGAATATGCCGGAAAGGGTCGTGGATGAACTCAAATAATTGAAATTTAGGAAGACTAAAATTTTTATCCAATATATATGCCTAAAATCTAACTTCATGCAATCTTAAAAGAGTCAAGGAAGAGTATCAAATAACTGGAAGTTTTCTTGAAAATCTTACACATAATGCTCGGAGTATCGATTCGGTAACTTTGAGAATCAACAGAGAATTATGAAGAGAATTCGGCCATCGTCGTTTTTTCTGCTAAAACTGATTTATAAACATCCCAAAAAACCCTCGAATAGAAGTCATAATTTTCAACAAGTCACTCAAAATTCGATCAGCATTTCAACCAGACGTAAGGACGAAAACGACTGGATATTTTATCATGTGGAATATAAAGATGATATGTATATGTATGCTCTACGTGCTAGCAAATTAAAACCAAGTAGTCGAACCCAACCAACACTAGTGAATAGATTGAACAGTAGGTCATTCTGCATCTGTTTTTGGAAGGCTGGCATTCGCAGCAAAAGATAGCAACACCCTAAAGAATTTAAATGTGTTAAAATGTTCGATAACCACAGACCTCTCTTAAGCCTTGGTAAGTCACACACTTGACTTTTTAAAATATTGCCGGAAGTTTTGAAGTGCATTCCAACATGGATGTTAATACTCCTTAAACTTAATTTTATTGATACTTCAAATTAGGCAGTAACTGTAACTGACCGATAACAAAATCGACATGTTTGTGTTCTTCACAGAGGAAACTGATATGGATAACGTTCGGAAACCGGTATGAATAATGCAGTCCACCTCAAGAATGATAAAACTACAAGCAAACATCTCTCAATCATTTAAGCTCCGACAGACGAACGCACCAAGAAAAGTAGTTCAATTTCATAATGTTAAACACACTTATCATGAATGAATGTTCGAGTTCTCATAAGAAATCAAAAACCAAATTTCAATAGGCACTTTTATTACAGACATTTACCACATATCACACACGAAAAATAATAAACTTTGTGTAATTTTGTTACTCGTAACGAACCTACTCGATCCCTTGGTATCAACCTCAGTTCACTTCCATGTTTCAAAAATATGTTACCAGCTGACTGTGCTGGATTTATACCCACTCCATCATTCGTTATAATAGCACTCGTTGCAGCTGGTACTTTGAATTCTTCAGCAGCAAATTTCAAAACTGCTGTGAAAGGTGTTGACTCTGGCACGCTGAGTCTGGAAACAACGAAGTTAAGCTTCTTAGTGGAGTGGTTTCCAAATTCCTAGTAAAGTGGTAAAGTTGTGAGTTACTTTGAAATATTCATATTCATGATAAAATAACCAACAAAGAATAAGCCTTGTAAGATACAATGTGTAAGATACAATAAGATACAATGTCCACTGTAGCAAAAACACTTTAAGTCATTGAGGAAGCTTTGCCGGATGATAGTAGATCATCAGGCACGAGCTCGGAGTGAATGAAACATAGCAGAAAGTGAAATGAGTCAAAACGAAATAAGTAATAATTGAGAAAAGCTAATACGCTCCCAGACATGAAAACGAATTGTTGGAACTGATAATAAACAGACTAAATCAGAGCCCGCTCATCATTGGGCTAAATCAGAACCCGTTTATTATCGGGCTAAATCACAGAATATATACTCCCTTTCTTAAATCATTTTTGTGCTATCACCAAAGACAACAACATCTTGACTGCATTGATCACAGCAGTCTGCATCTCATTTAAAGAATCGAATAACTTACACCTTAAAGGGTAGCTTTGGATCGCTTGTCAATGTTATCTTGAATGTAACCTTCCCAATCGCTTGCTCTGCTGCCATTTTTTTTTAGAAAGCACGTTGCAAAGGAATGTGAAGAAGAGTAAGTTTCCTAACAAACAGCTTGTCCAAACTTGACAACTTTGCGTCAACTCTGGAACCACCTGTCAGCACCGCTGAAACAGCCGCAGAACTAAATACTTAAAAGGCAACAACACCACATGCTCTGGACAATATCGTTCCCGAACTTACCCAGATAATGAGAATGAAAGATACGCCCTCAGCACTGCAATCAAATAAAAGCGAGTAATAGTATGTATGGGAAGAGAATGAGGGGAGGTATGTAGTCGAAAAGTTGGATGAAGAGTGACACTGTAATGTAAGTACCAGCAAGAACAAAAAGAACCCCAAGAGAACGCACTGGAAGAGAAAAGGGGATCGAAGAAATGAAGAAATAGCACAAGGTTAGAAAAGACAACAAGAACAACGGCTACCAGGAGAGAAAAGCTGATGGAGCTAACGGTCATGAACCAACACACTCAAACCACTACAATAGCTCTCCAACTTTTCAAATTATTATGGGGGTCAGCGCGAACGCTATTCCCCCAAACGCAAAAATTATGCTGTTGGCTGATCCCAACTCGGGATAGCCACACAGGTCAGCCTGAGTCCAAAGTGCAATGACCAAGCCTCACTATGAAGCCCCCGCCTTCGTGATCGCGGAGAACTCCCAGCCAGGTAAGTTTATGAACCATCCGCTCCACATACTCTTATCATAGCTGCAGCTGATACTCACTCGTTTTTCAGTCTGTTATCTAATTGTGCAACTATTGCGATATATAACGCAAAAGGAGGAGAGATAGGAGTGCAGAAAAAACTCTATTCACATTGAAGGCGCTCATTTCCAAAAGAATTTGTGAGAATTATTTAATTAATTAATAAGTTCGAATATTGCAGTACTTTTCCAAGTTTCAAGATGTTTCGATTCTTGAATATCATTGCAGCACCCCACTCAAACACTCACCGTTTCGGCAGGGCAATCAGATCATTCAGTATTACCGTCAATGAATGCCGGTCGTATTCTGCCGGTGTATTACGATGGTGAAACCTCTAAGGTCCCAGTACTTTCACCTAACCATTTCTGTAGTTGTCTACTCTAAATACTTCGTGAATACAGATCTCCACGCAAACTCTCTGAAAACTTCGAGGGAATACTTCGTACAAAACGGGACAGTGGGAACTTTTCGTCTTCCCGAAACTTTATAAAATAATGCATGCCTAGTTTCATTGCTTACAGTACTCGAGCTTCGGCACGGTTATTGGACTTGTATGCTTACTGTAGACGTGTAGTGGCTATTTATAAAATTTATTTCAGTGAGCTTGTCAATGGCACCTCAACAAATCACTTTAGCTTCAGTGAATTGTTAGCTATCATGTGTTGTTTTCAGCAAGTTGGCCAAGTAAATACCGACGAAGTTTCATTTTAAAATGTTTGATCTTTAATAAGCATATTGCTAAGTTCATCTGAATTGCTTCTCAGATAATGAGGCAAAGAGGACCAATTAAGTAACATTGATTGCATAATATATTGTTAAAGGCAGTGCAATTCATGTGGGATACAAAATTAATCAAATAAAAGATCGTAAATAAAATTTAAATATGTGAACTAACATGTGTGACAGTTAAAGGCTTCATTGTGAAGGTTTTCGATCAAGTGATATTCATAACAACGTGTCTAAATTTACTCATTTGAGCAAATCAAACTGAGACAATTTTGATTCATAAACAACTACGCATCTCTGTTAATATTCTGACCTTTGACCATAGGTAAACAAACTTGTAGGACAAAAAATGTTTAAGAAAAATATACGATGTAGCAGCAATTCTTGGTGAAATATTCTGAAATTGATGAAAAGTGCGGTGCTGTTAAGTACACAACTAGCTTGCTTGCCCACAATAAAAAATAGTCTGATGGCAGGTGATCATTTGTTTTACATGGATAAGATATCATTTGAATGACAAGTGACTTCATTTCGACCTATAAGAAAGCATTGGCTCGTTGCTGTTGCTTATTTTTCTAAGCGATGTTAGAAGAACATCAGTTCAAAAGTCCATCATCATACCATAATTCATCTCTTTTCATACTCAATTCCCATAGAAAACTGTTCTTGCAGAGGAAATTGTTCGTGTAGAATTGCAGGATTTTGTTTCACACGTCTCTCGAAGTTTTGATCTAAGACGTCGCTTTCACCAGTTGTCGTGATATACAAAATTGTAGCAAACTGGTTTATTTTGGAAGCACTCAACTCACCCTACAAGAATCTTTAGCAACCATGATTTAGCACATTCATGAAACTGAACGCTTTCCGGATGAAATCCCGTATGACACTTAATTTCATTTGTAGAAAATACTCTAACTTAAGCATTAATGTAAATTAAATATGTTAAATTAATAACGGTCTAAGTCTACAGACTGCAAAGTCTTTGATCTCACTTCACGCTGTTATCAGTTAGTTGAGATAGCAAGGGCCAGTTTTATGGATTTTCCAGCAAACGATCGGAAAAGTATTACTTCGCTTAACTTTCACTTATTATTACACTGAGGTCAAGTACATCAGAGACTGTCGGGAAAGCTAATCTATTGAACTCGTTTTTTAACGATATAGATTTATTCGGGATGTAATATTGTTCTTGCACAATATTACTAGTTAACAAAAAGGTATAAAAAGTATATATATATATATATATATATATATATATATATATATATATATATATA